TTCCTTAACAGTCCACCAACTGATAAGCAAACATTCAATGACTATGGGAGCCATTCTACTCAAATGATGACAAAGACCATTGCATGTCCTTAATGGGCTGACCTTCCCTCCTCAGGGTCTTTGTCTTTAACTCACAGAACTAACTTTCCAGTGTTGTCCTCTTAGGAGAACATGTTTTTGACTATTATTTTTTCTGTCCTTGAGCTCACTCATCACACACTACTTTCTCTTTGACACTGAAATATTTTCAATATCTACATCACGTGCACCAATATTGTATGTCCCACACTAGCACATACAAAGCATGCACCATGAGGAAGCAGTGGTATCAGTTTCTACCCTGTTCCTGGGGGTTAGGACAGGCCTGTTATAATGGAACTTTTCACGAATCTAGCACAAATACAATAGTAACCGAGACAAAAAGAGGTGACCCACATATTCCTTGCCCGACCAGAACAGCGATTGCACAATCAAACAGGACTAAATACTCAGGTTTCAATGTCCCAATCACTTAATCAGATATACATCATGTCATATATATTTAATGTGAGCACACCTTCAGCACAATAGGTGAAATCCTTACAGACATTAAAAATTTCTCTTCAAGGGTTAATTTTGATCCTTCTTGTATTAGGTTTTGCTTTTTAGCTTTTCACTGAACTTTTTTTTAATTGAACTTTTAGTTGGGACTCAGGTAGACAGTGTCAACAAAAATGTATGCCAACAATTTTGTTAAAGCTGACCTATGGGAATGTATTAGAAACAAAATGTGTGTGTGTGTGTGTGTGTGTGTGTGTGTGTGTGTGTGTGTGTGTGTGTGTATGTTTTGTATGCCTGTTATATGTTCTCTAGTACTAATTTACCACATTGGTAACACACGCTCTCTGTGTCTGCCCATAGGTACAAGTCTGCAGCAATGGCCGCCAGGGCCATCAGGCGCTCCCACCCCCTGACACCTTCCCAGCGTCTGGTGGGCTGGATTGACCACATCCTGCAAACAGGGGGAGGAGCTCATCTCAAGCCCCATGGCTTTCAACAGCCATGGCATGTGCAGAACCTGCTGGATGTCCTATTGTTCCTGTTAGGGCTCACTCTGGGCACCTGGTGGCTGCTGAAGACAATGCTGGGCTTGTTGCTCAGGTCCCTGGGTGTGGCCAGGAAGGAAAAGAAGGCATAATGTTAGGGTTGACCTGGGGGAGGATGCTGGGAACTCTGGCTCTTTACAGGACTGCCCCTTCCCTAACACAAGGAACTCCCAGGGTTCTCCTCTTTCCCTCTTCCTGCTGGGGAACCTCCAGTTGTCCTCACTGTTTTCTGCCTCTTTCCTAACACTCATACAGTACATTGACTGACTGGTGACTCCACTACCTGGATCCCCTTGCTCCTGTACAATCCTTCCTTTCCCAGCCATTTCTTCTCTTCACTCTTTTCTGCCATTGACAGTGTTATAACTGTTTCATCCTCTCTGTGACTTCTAGTTTCTGACTCTAATTTCTCATATCATTTGAGTTAAAAACCCCAAATATTTGATAAATTCTACTTACTCTTCTATTTTTCTTATCTTATATTCTCTCTTTAGAGTTTAGAATGCCTGTCCTGCTCCATTCTACTCTTCCTGTTAGGCAGCAACAGCCACTGCCAGCATGTAATATCTACCAATGTATCTGATAATGACACCATATGAATGCCATTAATTAATTTTTCTTGGTATAATACAAAATAAAGTTCACAGAAAATTGAAGAGTTTGGAGAAATCATTTTTGATATGACTTATATGATAGGTTTATTTCCTTATGTGTAATAAATTTAAATAAGTAATGAAAAGAAACTACAGTCTATCCACTTATTGGAGTAACTACTATATGTCAAACCGGATAAGCCAGAGATGTATAAATGATACAGAATGAACTTCAATGCCGTTAAGTAAAAAGCTACAAAGAGAAGCGATATACATAGCATTGCTGTTGGGATGAACTGTAGCTCAGTAGAAGGATTAGAGGGAGATTCCGGGCTCTGAAGGCTGTTTGTGGCCCCTGTTCCCCCAAACCTAGCAAACTGGGCAGAGGTTTGTTGAATGAATGGACTGAACTGTGCCTCTGACAAGGGAACTGTACATATGATGAGCCAACACATGGTGGTGCTGTGGTTACATGCATTGAGAAGAAGTGCCTTCTAAACAGATTTAAACCTGACACTTTATACTGTTGTGACCAAAGAGTCAGACACACTTAACAAGAGTTGTGATGTCAGTGAAATCATGACATCATATTTGGAGTCTGCAGTGGGATTTGTTATTCAAATCTCAGAGCTCTGAGTATGTCTTGCCCTTCTTTATTGGAAATACGACTCTCTCCTACCTTCCTCTCAAACCCCAAAGTCTTACAAAATTTATTTTTCCTCTTATGATTTAATGTGAGTCTTCAGAGTTCAAATTAAGATTGTATGCCATCCTAGAGCTTGATTCTCCGAGTTACCCCTCTACTCCTAGCTTCTGTCCTAACATGGTACATTGAAAAGAGGACACAGTTAATGTTGGCTGTTTGTTGACAAATTAATTGACTGAATGATGGCTAATGTGAGCATCTCAAGTCTCGTGCTTGACTGTAATTCCCCCCCCCCCCCCCCCCCCCCCCCCGACTTTATCAAGTCATATCCAGAAGTATCTGCCTACATCAGCTCTGGTAGCATTGGTGTCAGAGGGAAAAGTGACCGAAGTCTGGATTCCAGTGTCTGGTCTTCCCAAAGTCTACTATGATTTTGCATGAGGAAGTGGCAGAAAACTACACTTTGAATTTCTTACCTATTGTTACATATGGTAGGGGAGAAAGAATCCTGCTGGGACTCAAATGTCCAATGTCTGTTGTTTGTCAAGACTTATAGGAAAGTCATTTTACCAGTCCATACTTACTTTCCTGCTGTGGTTTTAACGTGTCCTCCCAAATTCATGTGTTAGAAACTCAATTCCAAAATTTATATGTCAAGGGCACTTTCCAGCAGGAGGTTTGTGATATAATCAAAGTTAAAAGAAGTCCACAGGGTGGGGCCTCCAGGATGGCTACAGTGTGGCTTTACCAAAAGAGAAGGGGGCCTGGGTGCTGTGGGATGGTCTGTATGTCAAATGTGTTGCTGATTGGTCAATGAATAAATCACTGATTGGCAGTGGTCAGGCAGGAAGTATAGGCGGGACTAACAGAGAGGAAAATTGAGAGAACAGGAAGCTGGGTGGGGGAGACACTGCCAGCCGCCATCAGGATAAGGAAGATGTAAAGTACCGGTAAGCCACAAGCCACGTGGCAAGGTATAGATTAATAGAAATGGATTAATTTAAGCTGTAAGAACAGTTAGCAAGAAGCCTGCCACGGCCATACAGTTTGAAACCAATATAAGTCTCTGTGTTTACTTGATCGGGTTTGAGTGGCTTGGGACTGGTGGGTGAGAGAGATTTGCCCTGACTGTGGGCCAGGCAGGAAAACTCCAGCTACACCTGGGGCTGACATGCTTGTTCTGCTTGGCATGGGATGCCCTCCCTGATGGTTACAGTACAGTTTTACCAAAAGAGAAGAGGGCTTGGGGCTGATGTGCTTGTTCTGTAATGGCATGTGATGCTCTCATGACGCAGTATGAAGCCCCTCACCAAGTGCTGAGCAGATCCTCGTGCCATGTGTTCTCTTCTCTCTTGTCTACTGTCTAGTCTACATCTCTATTACCATAGGTAGTAGATAATGGAGCCTTTGAGCTCAAACTCATATTCACCAAGGATGGGTTTGGAGAGGTAAGACTAAGGCCTAGGTTTGTAGGCTTATTGTCTTGGGCTCTTCCCACTAATCTAAGAGATCTGAGAACCCAAGTCTGTCTATACTGCCCAGATCACCTTCTCCCATTTCTGAATATTTCTACAGAAAAGATCAACTAGTGGAGGATAGGTGTGTACATGTTCGTTTGTTTGTTTGCTTTTGTGTTTGTGAGAGAGAGAGAGAGAGAGAGAGAGAGAGAGAGAGAGAGAGAGAGAGAGAGAGAAAAGAAAGAAAGAAAGAAAGGAAGAAAGAAAGAAAGAAAGAAAGAAAGAAAGAAAGAAAGAAAGAAAGAAAGAAAGAAAGGAGAGGGAATTGTTTTATCATTTCTTTCCTATAAACCTTGTTCAGTATTCAGGGGCATTAACCTACTAAACAGAGTATATGAGTTACTGGTAAGCATCTTTAACATGCATATTGAGAATCTCAGTGAAGACAGAAGTAACAGAACCCAGCATTTAAACCACAAAGGAGAACATGAAATATAGGATCAAAGGGATATAGGGTATTATATATAAATAACTATAGCTATAACTATATGTATAACTGTATACACACACACACACACACACACACACACACAATATCACAGAATTGGTTTCAACAAGTGAGTACTGCTAAATTACTATTAATTCCTACTAATAATGGTCCAGGCCAAATGCCTTTTCTCACTTTTATATACACACTCATCCTAATTTGTTCAAATATATCATTCTTAGCAACTTCTGAATGTTTCTTTTGTCCCTATCCCAATCTGCTACAAGAAGCTTTGCTAGTGATATTGATGAACTCCTTTCTCCTCTGGAAATGTGACATGTACTTTCACACACTATGCATGTTTGTCAAGGTGTGCGTGCGTGCGTGCGTGTGTGCGTGCATGCATGTGTGTGTGTGTGTTTGTGTGTGTGTGTGAGAGAGAGACACACACACACAGAGAAAGAGAGAGAGAGACAGAGAGACAGAGAGAGACAGAGAGAGAAAGAGGGAGATGGGGAGAGGTCTATGTGTGTGAAATATGTGTGTTTGTGTGGAGATATGAGTGTGACACTTCATACATTCATATGTAAACATGTATGTGGAAGGCAGAGGTTGACACTAGGTATTATTAGGTGCCTTCCTGTATGCTGCTCACCCTACTTTTGAGATAGGGTCTTTTACTGGACCTGGAGCTTGTCAAGTAATCTAGACTGTCAGGCCAGCAAGCCCAGGATGTACCTATCTTTACCTCCTGGATCTGGGATGATAGTTGCCTATCTCTTTATATGGGTACTGGGTATCTGTACTCAGGTCCACAGGTGCTTTATGTACCTAACCAATTCCACAGTCCCCAGGTCTGATGTTGGAGGTAAGGTGAAGATGGGTGTCTCAGCTTCAAGGAGGGAGGAAGAGAGACTCTACGTTTATGTTTTATTTTTTTATTTCTAGGCCTCAGCAGATGTGACAGTGCTCAGATCCTTTGGGTGAAGATGGAATTTCCTTACTCTTTTCCCTGATTCAAAAGCTACTGCCATCTGGAAGCAATCTTACACATGGCCAGAAATAAATCTTTCCCAGCTATCTGAGTATCCTTTAATCTAATGAAATTAACAATGAAATTAACCATCATATTAATACATTTGAGAAGTATGAGAGCAATAGATTGACTGGTAATTTGTTGTAAAGAACAGTGCAGTCCCCTTTCTCACATTATTTCTCCTTTTTTGTCTCTTCTGTTATAAGACTGTGAAAGGAGCATGATCATATACGAATGCAATGCCTAAACACAGACACAGGTAAAGACTTGTAGACACAAGACACCATGTTGCAAAGCAGAATTCAAAGCTGTGTTCTCCTACATGCTTTGAAGCTAATGAAGCAGATTCTCTTCCTGCTTTGAGGCTATACTGGGAAACGTCGCTAAAGCTGTTTAGTGTTCGAATAGAATGTGAGGATGACTGCATAGGCAGTGTGCTCCTTCCTCTTGGGTTGATTGATAAGTGGCAGAATTGGAAGCAGTCCCGAGCTTGCCCTGGGGAAGATTGTGTAATACTTCCATTCTGTTTTATAATGTTCACCAAGAACTGCAGGTTCAATTTTAATTGTTTTGACTAAATAGTTATGGTTTTCCTTAGTTACAATGAAAAGTAAATTTGGTATAAAACTTTAGAATCACTAAGATAAGATAGACAATGGACTATTTTCTCTAAATTGTTAAATACAAATAAATGAACTGAATAGTGTAAATGTAATTTTTACTTTAAATGTTTTTGTTGTATATGGTTTTACTATGTTAAAGTTAAAGCCTTTCATTTTTGTTTATACAAAAACGGGGAAATGTAGAATATTAGTTGAAGATGTGTTACATTATTTTATATTGTGAAACATTTGTTTAATGATGCAAAGATGTGTTGCATTCTTTTATGTTGCATTTTTTAACTCTGTGAAGCTGTGTACTTTGCCTGTGTAAACACCGGATTGGGCTAATAAAGAGCTGAACAGCCAATAGGAGAAAGACTAGGCAGGGCTGGCAGGAAGAGATGACATAGGGGGAGAAATCAGGGAAGAAAGATGGGGAGCAATAGGAGAAGGGGAGAATGACACCTGGGTCCAGTGTCCCAGCTAAACAGCAAGCCATGGAGTAAGAAGTAAAGAAATATACATATTTTATTTGGGGAGTAAAGTCCTACACTTAGGCCACTAGCATATTTTCATGAATTTGTGACTAGTGAGAGCCCTTGGGCAATAATCTTAGGTGTCTTCCTGAATCATTAACTTACAATTGACAGTGTTGAGATTTTAAGACTGGCACCTGGCATAATGGGTTACAGATATGGCAATCGGACACAAATAGAGAAATGACAGAGGAGGCAGAGTCTTGTATGTTAGGGAACAGGCCTGTAACATGTTCATGGTACATGTCACTTCAAGATGCTGGCATTGACAGGATTCCTCAGGGTTCCTTGATTCACAATTTAGAGAGTCATTTAGGGGCAGTAAAGAGGATATTGTGGCTAGAGGACAAGGTAAATATTAACTCAGCCCCTGTTCCTCTGTTGACTCTGGCTAAGGAGGGTGAAACAGAATGTCCAATGGAAAGAGACCAGCAGAGACAAGGCAAAGAGCAAGAGGACATTTGGAAGACCAGAATAAGTTCTCCCTTTTTACCCCATTTCAAGGCCACAGCTAGTGCTTTGTGACAGAGGCTCACAGGGTCACTTAGTGGCACACAGTTCTCAAGCTGTGCATCCTATGCCTGTGCTCCACTTGTTTTTACAGATGGCTGAGCATCAGATTGGGCTTCTAGTGAGCTTATTTCTCCTTGAGGTTCTTCTTTTGGATGCTGCAAAAATCCTGACTATATCTACAATTGGTGAGTGCTTGCTGGGAATATAGTGTCTTGTGAGACCATGCCTCATGCAAACAGCATGCAGTGGACCGACCATGCAGGAGATTTTCTAGCTAGGCTTAGATCAGACCTGGGGGAGGAAGGATGCATTGTGAAATATGGTGCTCAGAAGGGATTCTACCAAAGAGTGGGGGCAAACAGTAGATTGAAATAGCATCTGATGTGGAAACATCAGCAGGAGACTGAGTGGTATATTGTAAGGAAGATGAAAAAGGCTTCTCTACTGGGACTTTAGATTGTGAGTAGATGGGATGCATATTAGTCAAAGTGATCAGTCTATTCCTCAGCAAAAAGGGAGCAATGAGCATTTCATGATTTTTCAGGGGTTTGGCTAACATCCATAAACATTTTTGGTTTCAAAAGATTTTTTTCTTCTGTATAAGCACCCAGTCACTGAATTTTCTTGTCATCAGAGCATCATCTTATTGTAGGAACTGCTATGTTACTGTGAACACCACAAATGTCCTTGCTCAGTTGTTTGGTCTGCAGCTCATGATAGTTGGGTAGGGCTTTATATACATGAATCAGTGATAAAAGTCAGGGTTGGGTAGGGAAAATACATATTAGTACCAAAGGCAACAGACCACATTAAACCCATATGTAGACTGTGGGAAAACATTTTTTTCAAATTGTTAATGTATTTGCACTCATATTTGAATAGGACGTGACCCAAAGGTTAAGGCAGGAAAGGACACAGATATAATAGGAAGGCATAGTTGATGAATGTGTTATGTTATTTTAATCCTAAATTGGATACCTACTGTTGTTGGCAAAGAGTCAAGATTTTAACACAAGTAACCTTCAAGCTTCTGCTGAGAAGAAGGTATATTCTTTTTTGTTAGGGTGCAATCTTCTGTAGATATCGATTAAGTCCATTTGAGTCATAACATCAGTTAAGTCCCTTATTTCTCTGCTAAGTTTCGATCTGGCAGATCTTTCCAGTGGTGAGAGTAGGGTGTTGAAGTCTCCCACTATTAATGTGTGGGGTTTAACGTGTGATTTAAGCTTTAATAATGTTTCTTTTACATATGTGGGTGCCTTTGTATTTGGGGCATAAATATTCAGAATTGAAACTTCATCTTGGTGGATCTTTCCTGTGATGGGTATGTAATGTCCTTCTTGATCTCTTTTGATTGATTTTAGTTTGAAGTCTGTTTTGTTTGATATTAGGATAGCTACACCAGCTTTCTTCTTAAGACCATTTGATTGGAAAGGCTTTTCCTAGCCTTTTACTCTGAGGTAGTGTCTTCCTTTGGAGTTGAAGTGTGTTTCTTGTATGCAGCAGAAAGATGGGTCCTGCTTTCGAATCCATTCTTTCAGCCTGTGTCTTTTTTTTTTTTTTTTTTTTTTTTTTTTGGTTTTTTGAGACAGGGTTTCTCTGTGTAGCTTTGCACCTCTCCTGGAACTCACTTGGTAGCCCAGGCTGGCCTCGAACTCACAGAAATCCGCCTGGCTCTGCCTCCTGAGTGCTGGGATTAAAGGCGTGCGCCACCACCGCCCGGCCAGCCTGTGTCTTTTTATAGGTGAAAAGTCCATTGATATTAAGGGATATTAATGACCAGTGATTGTTAGTTCCTCTTATTCTTTGATGGTAGTGTGTGTGTATTTCTCTTCTTTGGGATTTACTGCTGTGGACTTACCTATTGCCTGTGTTTCATGGGTGTATCTGACTTCCTCAGGTTAGAATTTTCCTTCTAGTGCTTTCTGTAGGACTGGATATATGGTTAGATGTTGTTTTAATCTGGCTTTGTCTTGGAATGTCTTGTTCACTCTGTCTAAGGTGATTGAAAGTTTTGCTGGGTATATAAGTCTAGGTTGGCATCCATGGTCTCTTAGTGTCTGCATTACATCTGTCCAAGTCCTTTTGGCTTTCAAAGTCTCCATTGAGAAGTCAGGTGTTATTCTGATGAGTCTGCCTTTATAAGTCACTTAGCCTTTTTCCTTTGCTGCTCTTAATATTCTTTCTTTATTCTGTATGTTTAATGGTTTAATTATTATGTAGCAAGGGGACTTTTTGAGGGAGTCTAGTCTGTTTGGTGTTCTATAGGCTTCTTGTATCTTCATAGGTATTTCCTTCTTTAAGTTAGGAAAGTTTTCTTCTGTGATGTTGTTGAATTTTCTGTGCCTTTGAGTTGGTATTCTTCTCCTTCTTCTATCCCTATTATTCTTAGGTTTGACCTTTTCACGGTGTCCCAGATTTTCTGGACATTTTGTGTTATAACTTTTTTAGCTTTGGTGTTTTCTTTGACTGACGAATCTATTTTCTCTATTGTATCCTCCACACCAGAGATCCTCTCTTCCATCTCTTGTATTCTGTTGATTATGTTTGCATCTGTGTTTCCTGCTCATTTACTCAGATTTTTTATTTCCAGCGTTCCCTCTGTTTGTGTCTTCTTCATTGTTTCTATTTCACTTTTCAGGTCTTAAGCTTTTCCCCTCACATGTTTAATTACTTTCACATGGTTTTCTTGGCTTTCTTTAAGGGATTTATTTATTTCTTCCATTTTTTGTTTATCTTTTCCTTGATTTCTTCCATTTTTTGTTTGTCTTTTCCTCAATTTCTTCAAGGGAAATTTTCATTTTTCCTTGGTATGCCTCTAGCATCTTCATGAAGCTATTTTTAAGGTCGCTTTCTTCTGCTTCTTCTACATTGTGATGTTCAGGTCTTGCTGTTGGAGGAGGGCTAGGTTCTGGTGATGCCATATTGCTCTTTGTGTTGTTGTATGTATTTTTGCATTGACGTCTGTTCATTTCCTCTGCTAATAGGTGCAAGAGCTGCCTGTGTCTGAGTGAGTTGGTATTGGTCCACTCTGTGCTTATTATGTCTGTGTCTCAGGGGCCACCTCTATGTCCAATCTTAGCTCTTGGTCTAATTGTAGCTGGCAGATTCTGTGTCTCGGGGAGTTGTTCTTGGCCCAATCCAAGCTAACTGATTCTGTGACTCATGGGGCTGCTCTTGG